CAGAACACGAAACTTCAGGTCATATGTATTTTCAGATGATAAACACTTAATTGCCATGTCTTTCCGACATACTCTGAAAAAGATTTTTGTTTTTGTTGTTGTTTTTTCCGAGCTTGCCGGAATTATCCACTAAGATGGTAAAACTGTAAGGAAAGCTAGATGTCTAGAATCTTGGCATTATATGGCCAAATTTTTTCTTGTACTTTTATGTGTAGGTTAGACAATAAATTAAAAAAAAAAATTGAGAATCCGGATCTAGACTGGTATTGACTGTCTCTAACCTACGAAATGTATATCGCGCATATCAGACAGGAAAGGCCAGTGTAAATTCGGATCATTTCTATTTTTGTATGACAAAACGAAATTGTTATTTTCCCAGAATGCCCGAACGTGAAGTCGAGAATGCGTATTTCAGAAATATAGACTAACGTAGTTGCTAGCGCTCTCGAGTGCTCAAATGCAAGGAACAAACCATAGCTGTGACATGTTTTGACACTTCGATAATTATTACAATTATTTTCAAAACAATTCGCTTACATTTTAAACTGTTTAAGGACATTTTGATAGCCAGAGCAATGAATAATTGAATAAGCAGTATCTAACTGTTTAACAATTTCATAGGCACCTGACGTGTAAAAAGTGTGAGGTTACCCCCCCCCCCTCCCCATTTATTTCAAAATAAGATTTAAAAAATATCGGCTGTCAATTTTTTAATGCTTACTAAAATAAAAACTGACTGCATGACTGTACAGACCGATTACTGATTTCTGCTGAAATCATACATTTTGGAGAATTAGGTTTCTAAATTTATTTCATATAATCATGCTATCCACGCGTTACGTTGTATTACTTTTGATGGTACTTTTTAAATATATTTAAGTAAAAGGGTTTTTGAGTTATAAATACGTCATGTAGCAGTGAAGTTTGAAATTTTTTTTTCTTCAGAAAATGTTCCGAATATTCGATAATCGTTCGAATAATGCAATCGAATAATCGACTAAGGAAAATAAATATTTTGACATCCCTACGAAAAATACATCAAACACAGAAAACAAAACGAAACAGGAAATAAATTTTAATTTGTTCTTTAGAAAATATGACATGTGCAATGTCTTCATACGCAACAAAATAAAATAAATAAACTTGACAATATTTAAATATTAAGTATTTATATCCCGATAGATGTTTTAAAATGATACCTTATTACTTATATTTACATTTGTGACTTATTCATATTATATATTAGCCTGATTATAACCTTATGACGCGAGGAACCCGTGTTTATACGGATATATATACATTTGTGGTATCTCTCTATTATATGAACATTCAGAGAGCAAATATCTTCATACCTGTATGAAGTTTTTCGAAGGTCATAGGTCATTACGTGACCTAATCACACAGCGCAGTAATATCTACATAAAAAGACTTACTCCACTTACCAATATAGCATGTTTTTCATGCATAAAAATGTACAAAATACGCAAGTAAAATAATAATCATTTTATTTATAATGTAAACGAGTATTTAATACAGTTCTTGATCGATTTTATATAGAGAATAGAAAAGTACGTGTTATAAGTTTCATGTCTGAGCTGCATATCTCAACGTTTACCCTTATTTTTCTCGCAGACCTCTGAATGCTATAATTTTTTTTTCATTAAACTTTACTCACAATAAATTTGAAAATCTGTTGAAAAATATCAATGTAATGCAATCACGCCACAAACAGCTGACAAACATTGCACTTTGGAAGTTCAGTAGGCACACCTCCATCATCGAAATCGTTGTGAAGTTGTCTTTTAAACAATGTAAGCTGTCGCCAGTGTCTCCGTATCAACATCATAAATTAATGAATATGCCTTACTGAAATCGTAGATTTTATGTTTTTGATCAAATTTTGTACTTGATTTCAAGTTGTCTGGTCCGGACAAGTGTCTCAATCCATCCCTTTCCGACCGAAATTCCTCCAACTTTTTATTATCAAACATCGGACGTGTTTCTTGTGTTTTTTAACATCGAATATGGGTTCTCATGAATACAAAAATTCCCAGACACCAATATGCTCACTATAATTGATCACAAGTAGCCTCTCACAGAATATCCCCTTCAAAACAGAATCATTTGCCAGATGAATTTGAAGCGTAACCGCTTTTCAAGCCGATTTACACCTAGCGTAATTTGTCAAAATCTACGACGTACAGTTAGTGCAATATTTATATTCGATTACATTCAATTATCCGTCTCAAATGTATATTTAAGAAATAAATAACAAGTTTAAAAACTTCAATGGGAATTGAAGTGGGTCGGTACGTGATCAAATCTTCTGAGAAGGCCTTCGGCCTTCACAGGATTTGATCACGTGACCGACCCACTTCAATTCCCATTGAAGTTTTTAAACTTGTTATTTATTTCTTAAATAGATACACGTTGCTTTTAGTAGTGTTATATAAAAGAAAACATTTGCAAATGTAAATATAATCGTATGAAAATATACTTTTGAAATGCAATCGTGTTCATTGAGCATATTCAATAGTAATAATACCGGTATTATAAGTAACAACTCATTTATTTGAAAAAATTATGGCGTCAACGCTGGTATGAAATTCACTTTGTTTATCCATATATTTGCCTGAAATTTTCATGATATTCTACAAATAAGCCATAAAAACTTTAATGTTATGCAATGAAAAGATGCAAAAGTTCAATAATTATTTACGGTGAATAGAAGTAAAAGAAATACATAGTCACAATTCATTTCAATAAAATCGGCCCCGTGGCACTCTACGCAACTGTGTGATCGGCCCAAAATCGGCCCTGTGGCACAGAAGTGGTTAAGAATTATTTATTTATGCTAGAATATTGAGAAAATTGTTTCTAAAAAGTGCGCCAAATGATGGTAGTTGTGACGTAAGAGAGGTAACTCTTGTTTACTGAGAGTTGTATGTTTTGAACAGAAATGGTCGAAATGGACGTTAATTTGCTTTGACAGTAAGACAATATCAAGTTTTCTCTTTTTGTGCCATTATTTATTTTAATATATATCGTAAGCAAAACAAACAGTTACTTTAAATCTCAGACCTGTAACGATTTGTTGAACATGTAACCCGGTTCGATCCAAAGTGAAAGTAGATTTATCAAAAGTTTGGGACCTTTAAATCTCAGCAATTAAACATGTTAAATGTGCCCTTGATTGTAACATGTTTTAAAACACCAAGACTCGTCTATTTAATGACCAAATCAGGCAAATCCTCACCTACATGATTAATTACCTTTGTCAAGCAACATATTTACCTATATAGATAACACCTGCTTGATCAGAGATGCGCTACCAGTTAGCTCCGCACACTAAACTCATTATAATTTCTCTCTAATTTGACATGCAATTTTCTGTTATCAATATTCTCCTTGACCATTGCTTGATAATTACACCCATGGGAGAGGTGGAATTTCTCTTATAACATTACATTTGTTATAGATTGCTGTAAAGTATATAATGAAAAAAATAAGTATTTTCTTGATTTAACATTTTTTTAATAAGGATACTGCAACACTCTTACATTTTTTGGGATTGTGTAATTAATAGTAATTTCACTTAAATTAAAGGTCACATTGACCTTGAAATAGGTCACGACACACCTTCTACCTAAGATGCATAAATTGGCCAAGTTTGATGATTCTAAGTGTAATAGTTTTCTAGTTATGAGCTGGACAGGATTTTTCCATATTTGGCCATAGCATCTTAATTAAAGGTCAGAGCGACCTACTTTTAGTGCACGACACACCTTCTGCCCAAGAAGTATCAGCTGACAAAGTTTGATAATCCTAGGCCAAATAGTATTAAAGTTAAGAGCCGGACACGAGAAAAGCTAACAGACGGACACAGACATAAACGCCATAACATAATACACGCCGTCTAAATACGGGCGCATGAAGGTGAGATCAAGCATACAAAGGAAGTCTGGTAGGGTCTTTCCCTAGATGCATAGTCCATTCAAGTTTGGTCCAGATAGGGCTTATAGTTACTTGGGAACTGACCTGCTCACCAAACTTTAACCTGGTCACTCATCTGAAAAATGAAAATCAGATACAGCATCCAAAGCAAGCCTGGTATAGTCCATCTCTAGATGCATCATCCATGCAAGTTTGGTCCAGGTAGGACTTATAACTTGGGAATGGACCTGCTCAAAAACCTTAAATCTGTTTACTCATCTGCATGGAAAATGTAGTTCAGATTTAGAATTCGAAGTAAGCCTGGTTGTGTTCATCCTTAGATGTATCATGAATGCAAGTTTGGTCAATATAGGGCTTATAGTTACTTGAGAATGGACTTGCTCCAAACACTTTAGCCTGATCACTCAAGAGGAAAATCTAGGTCAGGACCAGCATCCAAAGCAAGTCTGGTAGTGTCCATCATTATTTGCATCAGTCATGCAAGTTTGGTCCAGGTAGGTCTTACAGTTAATTGCAAATGTAGTTGCTCCTAAAACTTTAAACGGGCCGCCGTTGCCGGGGGTATAGAATAAGCTCATCTCGACTTTGTCGAGGTGGGCTAAAATTGCAAGTTTATTCATCATTGGACTTGTGTGTATACATGTAGTTTCTTCAGAATAAACCTTATACAAAAACTTTAACCTGGTCACTCATCCTGAAAGTAATAATTAAATTATTGAATATATCTAGAAATAAGCAGATAACAACACTTTTGTGAAGCAATATTGACAAATATTTCTATTTTTGTCTGCTTGAATTCTTCAACGTTTTAGTACAACATAAGGATTTTGACTTAAGCTTAAGATGTTTCATGATCCTGAGGCCAGGGCTTTTGAACAAATGTCAAAATATGAAAATCCTTGTGGCTTTTTTGAAAGAATAATTAACAAAATATATAGTTTCAGCTGTTATTTCTTCAAAATTTGATTCAGAGAAGGCGTGTGTACAGCATTACCAGGCATCATAAAATCGCACAAAGGTCCATTTATTATTGGAACTCGTAAATTATACATGTAGAGATAAACAATTCAAGTTCAAAACTATATTTTGTACATTACATGTATCCGTAAGTAATGAAAATGACTTAATATTTAAGTACATGCATAGTCCAGGTATATAGTCCTAGGCTTAAATGAATATTAGTTGGAATGAATATCCTGTGTCTGATTGACTTTATGAAGGATTGAATTTAGTTTGATTTTTCTTAATATCTTGGATATCTTTCTGTTGCTCAAGCAGACGTTTTTGGATATCTGTCTGCTGCTCAAGCAGACGTTTTTGGATATCTTTCTGATGATCATCCATACGTTTATCAAAGTCTGATTTCATCTGTGATATGGCATTTAATATTGTCATTGTATCCATACTTGGTTTGATACTAGAAGATAATCTTGCTTCCACTGGAATGATACAATTACTTGTCACAGGTAAATTAAGAGATTTCAAGACATTCTCTATAGGAGTTACCAGACACGCACCACGTGATGTGTATCCTATTGCCATTCCAATACAACTAATTGTATCATCTTGATTAATACAAAACACAAAGGATCCCGAGTCACCTAATTCAAAAAACTGTCCACGTAAGCTCTCAATTTCCATTTGATTATATACAACAATATCACACGGAGAATTACTTGATCCCAGAATATCAGATAACTTCAATTTGTCTTCATAATTGATGCGAACATGCATGCACTCATTGAAGAGACAGCCTAGCGTTAGTCCGGTAGTGGCTCCATACTTTACAACACTACCAGATACTAAGTTTGGTAAGTTATGCATTGGAATGATTTCCCCATGGAACTTTGGTGGTTTGTCCGTTTGAAATCCTGCAAAACAAAAATACAATTGTTCTATTGACACGATATTGTGAAAAATGAATAATTCTTTCAATGGATATCATAGCTAAGTATTCAATAATGCATATTGTACTATCATGCGCTTGAAATGGATTTGTAAATGTATATAATTTTCTTCGCGAGAAAACCAATGCTCCTACAGCTTGCTTAAGGACGCCAATAGGAATATACCTTAAAATAAAAATAATTTCTTTTTCCATGAAAATTTATACAATATCAAATTAAAGAATTATTTCTTTTCTGAATGACAATTCTTTGCTCAGCTCGGCAAATGCGTCATGTGACAGGTTAAAATAAGAGAATATATGTACAGCTACAAAAATCTTAAAAATTCAATGAAAAATATGACATCAAAACCACGAATTATAATTCAAATCAAATCACCTGCTGACAGTAACTGTTCCCCTGTCACTGTTCGATAACCAGCTACACTTGATGGTGATGCAAGTTCAATCAGGGCAGCATCAACACTAGATTCTCTCGGTGAATGCACGCCAGAAACTTCAGGTTTAGGAAACTCTGCATGAACAACTTTCCCACAAACTTTATATGAGTGAGCACTATTTATAAATGCCTCTACCTCATTTAAAGGATCTATTTCTCTCTTCTCCAATTCTTTTAGAGATAGAACCACATGAGCACAAGTTATTAAGCCAATTTTACTTCCAGGTAGACTGACGAACCCACCAATACTCCCAACATTTTTACTCCCTTTACGACGAATATCTCCTCCCATTTCTAGTAACTCCCCATTGCCAAAATTACAAAAACCTTCCTGAACATCCACTTCAACATCTCCAATTTGTCTTGGGAACTCCTCCTCTCCATAGGGAATGTATCCTTTATGTAGACATAAGAATAGAATACAAGGCTTTTTCACGACCCTGTGATTTCCTTTTGAAAACCCTATTGATTTACATGGTGAAACTGATATCATTGTAAGGTTGGAATGTCTTTGGAATAGTACTCTTGCTTTTTTTTCTGAGATTTGGGGCAAAGTTTCCTTCAAATGTGAGGTTGCACAAGACTTGAAAACAATATATGCTTCTTGAGATGGGTTTGTATAATTATAAATGAACATTTTCTTCCCCATGACCTTTTCTTGGGTTATATCAATCATTTCAATAGTGCCTTTAAACGATAAAACAATAGTAACACATTTTCCCTTTTCACAGTCATGGCACAGTGACAATTGGATTGAATTTTGTAGGAGACTTGCATATTTTCTAAGAATCATGCATTTTGCTGACTGTAAAATTGTGTCAACAATAACAGCATTTATTTTTTTAGAAGTCTTCGTAAATAACGTTTCCAACTGAAAGTCACAGTGAAATGCATACAAGCGCACAAGCTCTGATAGCAGTATGTAGTTCCTGCTTTCAATTGCAAAATCTATCAAATGTTTTACAGCAAACTGCAGTTCATTTACTTTTACATGTGCAAGTACATCCCTTATGTTAATAGTAATTAGAACACAAAAAGTACTGATGAAACATTTACATTTCTGGGCCCGTGCCTCTATTATCTTTTCACTGCAAGATTTAGTCCATCCAAAGATACCCTGGGTCCTAAATTCACTGCAAGTCTCTATTTTTCCTATTGAGCAATGCTTGACAGAACTTCCACAAATATCATTACAGTCCACATATTCAATTCTACGGAGTACACTCTCCAATTCACTTCTGAAGATTTCACTTTCTAAAGCATCAATTTGATTCATACTTGTTGACTTTTTAAGAGGTGTTGATATTCCATGTAAGTTCAAGGGGGCCCTGTAATCTGTAATAATAAAATTTTTTAAATGCCTCAAACATTGCAACAAAGACAACCTGGCTGCATTTTTGTGACAAGAAAACATAATTATTGATATTTCATATAGTATCATGTTAGCACATCACACTATCAGATACTGTATATGTGATTGAGAGTCGCAGAAAGTCAATCTCTTACTCTGGATTCTAACGCTTTAAGAGGATGCAATTGATAATATCAAAATTTGTCTCTAGAACCCTTTCTATTTTTTGTTGATAAAAGAAGCATTTAATGTTTTCCAAGATTGAAAGTAGAATGATAAGCATATTTCACAGTCATTTGAAATCTAACGTCAGATCACCTACCGCAATTATCTTGCACTGTTAATCTTTCACACAATTTTAGTAGCAACAAACTTCTCATTATAATCAAGTCAAAATTTTGCCTGGTAAATGTCCATGATTAAGAAATATAATTTTTCAATGTGCAGCATAGAAATGAACAATAGGCCCATGGGCCATTATGCTCATTGCAGTCACTATGGCCCTGCTGTTCTTCATCCACAGATTTTTTTCCAATTCACTTAAATTTAAAAATATGTTCTCCTGTTGTGGCCCACCCTACCCAAGGGGGTCAAGATTTGGACAAAATTGAATCCATACTACCTGAAGATGCTTCCATATTAAAATGACTAATCATGGCTTTGCTGTTTTTTCAAAGAAGAAAATTTTGAAATATTTTTTCATATAAACTTTGATCACTTTTTGCAGGCCTTTCCTTCTTCAGAGGGTCATGTTTCAAACATACTTGAATTTACATTACAGTACCGACCAGACACAACCTACCACCAGAACAAACCCCAAAGCTGACCCGGGGTTCCCGTTGCGTTCATTTGGGGTCCACTATTGAAGGACTTGGGTGTACTTTGGGTGCGCTTCGGGTTCGCCGTGCGTTTGCTTGGGGTCAGCTTTGGGTACACTAAAGTGAACCCTGCGTTCGCTTTCACCCGTTTTATCTCACCGTGCGTTAGCTCCACCCCTTATATAATCCAAATATACAGTAGTTGAAATAGTTTACTGTTGTTCAGTGTCGATCAAATGCATGTAAATGTATGATCCTGCAAGCGACAATTGGAGGACATTTGCATTCCTATTGTGGACCCACCCTCCCCCAGGGGGTCATGATTTGAACAATTTAGGATCTACACTACCCAAGGATGCTTCCACATAGTTTAAATTTTTTTTGGCGCAGTGATTCTTGAGAAGAAGATTTTAAAAGATTTTTCCTACATATTTCAATGTAAACTTGAATTCCCTATTGTGACCCTGCCCTACCACCGGGGGTCATGATTTGAACCATTTAGAATCCACACTACCCCAGGATGCTTCCATAAAGTTTCAGCTTTTCTGGCGCAGTGGTTCTTTAGAAGAAGATTTTTAAAGATTTTTCTTATATATTTCAATGTAAACTTGGATTCCCTATTGTGGCCCCACTCTACCGCTGGGGTCATGATTTTAATAATTTAGAATCTACACTACCCCAGGATGCTTTCACATAAGTTTCAGCCTTTTTGGCTCAGTGGTTCTTGAGAAGATTTTTTTAATGACCATACCCTTTTTTGACTTTTCTTGATTATCTCCCCTTGTAAGGGGGCTTGGCCCTTCATTTTAACATTTTAAACTCCCCTTTACCCATGGATGCTTTGTACCAAGTTTGGCTCAGTGGGTCTTGAGAAGAAGTTGAAAATGTGAAAAGTTTACAGACGAACAGACAGACAGATGGACAGCTAGACAGACGGACGGACAACAGCTTTCAGCTCAGGTGAGCTAAAAAGTCCAGAATATCACACTACATGTATATTGTTTTACACATTATTTAGACGGACCGAGAATAATTTCGGGAAGAGGACATTTTTTTATTTGTGTTTTTATTTACATAAATATTTTTATAAATGCGTGAATAGTGATTGTTGGAAAATTCGAGGACAGTGATATACAGGAAAATAGATTTATAAGTTAAGTAGTGGTGTACATATTTGTTCAATTAAATTTGCAATGGATTGAGGATAAAAAAAACAAAAAATGTGTATTTACCAAAAATAATATCCTTTCAAATTTCTTTATTTTTATCACTTAATCTATGAATCACATTAAAAAATTGTGCGGCAGACTAATTGGTTACATACAGGTATGGTCGTTTTTACTGTTTGGTCTTGGTTAGGTTCGATTGTTTTTCCCCCATAAAGGACATGCATGTATATGTATATGTATACACATCGAATTCTTTTGCATCGACATTGGTCAAGACACGCTTTGTTTCTTAATATTATTCCCCATTATACTCTTAATAATATTTCCTATAATGGAAAATGCGTTGTCTTGACTCTCGACCAACAAATAATTTTATTTATCAACATTTAATCTTCATAAGTTCAAAATTTGAATTGCAAACATACTTTACCCAAAATGATATTAAATTAAAACAGACCCTCCACCCATCCAGCCCCCCCCCCCCCCCCCCCCCACAAAGCATTTTAATAATTTTGTCTTGAAAGCTTTGTACATTTTGAATCTACACTAACTGAGAACTGAGGATCCTTCCACATTTCTTTGACTAACAACAAGAATTTTAAAGATTGTGGTCTCTCCATACTCCAAGGATCATTGATTGACTTGAACAATCTTGATTCTACACTACCTGAGGATAATAATCATCTTTAATAATTTGACTAATCATGATGTTCTTGAGAGGATTTTAGCAATCTTTTCCCATAATCCTATGTATAAGTTTGTTCCCCTGTTGTGGCCCCTCCCTATCCCGGGGGGGGGGGGGGGTTATGATTAGAACAAACTTGAATCTTCACTATTTCAGGAAACTTTTGTTTAAATATGACTCAACATGACTTTCCTATTTTTGATTTTTAAAGATATTTCCTTTGTATTCCTAATTTAAACTTTGATCACTTATTATGGCCCCAACCTACCTCCTGGGGTTGAGATTTGAACAAAATTGAATCTAAACTACCTGAGGATCATTCCATATAAATATGATGAATCATGGCTTTGCTGTTCTTGAGAAGGAGACTTTTTCTAACTATGGTTTTCTTTGTAAATTTTGATCGCCCATTATGGGTCATGATCTGAACAAATTTGCATTTACACTTAGGATGTTTTCACACAAGTTTCATCTTTTCTGGACCGGTGGTTCTTGAGAATAAGATTTTTAAAGGATGCCATTATTTTTTCCCTTATTCGTAATTATCTCTCCTTGAAAGAAGGTCTGTCCCTTTATTTGAATGAACCTGAATCCCCTTTATGCAAGGATACTTTGTGACAAGTTTGGTTGAAATTGGCCTAGTTGTGGAGATGATGAAATTGTAAAAAGTTTACAAATATGACAGCAGACAAATTCTGATCAGAAATGCTCACTTGTGCCTTCGATTCTGGAGAGCTAATTATATTAACAGATGCTGGTGAAGAGCTTCAAATTTAAAACCTTTACTCGGCACTTAAGGCTAAAAAGCCAGTGAGGGTCTTTAGCTTGCCAACTTCTTGCACGACAAAGGGCTTTGGTTTTCAAGATCTTATCTGAAAGTCTGAAAATTTACACATCGAAAGTTTCGAGCACTATGCCCAAAACGCATTGCAACTTATTTTTATAGATTAGATTTGTTGTTACCGTTGAGCGAACCCATGACTTTCTGACTGCAGGAGAAATATATGATTTTAAAAAATTGTTTACAGACAAATAGACAAAAGGACAAAAAATGGCCACCTTAACATATTGCATAAGCTTTACTCAGTAGAGTTCAACATACAAGGAGAAATTTTGTTAGAGTACTTGTCCTTAATAACATTAAAAATAAGATATACCTTGCAGAAATTTTACATCACTTTCTGTTTTCCAATATTTATGGAGTGGAAAATACATGGGTTCATCAGGAACAATCTTTTTGGAACCACCAGACAAATCCAGAACATCTTCATTATATCCTTTAATAGTTTCTGAACAGATAAAACATGAAACACATAACTATAATCTTTATCTCAATCTGTCATGATTATCTGACTTTTGTTCTTTGCCAGATCAAGACTGTAGGAAATAAAAAATATTTTAAAAATTACGGAAACACAGTTCTTTGAAATCTAAAATCAATATCTAAACAAAATATGCAGTTTAGTGTAGTCTAGTGTCAAAAGTTAAACTGTCTTGGACTAAATCTGAAGGCGTAATATTGTTTTCATTAATCATTTATGGAGTAATATAAGACATATGAACAGCCAACAAACACCTTACAATTTTGCATTTAAGCTCTAGTATAGCTAAACAAACACAGAAGCACTTTGTTAGAACAAGAGAGCCAAAGGCCTTGACAGTCACTCGGGTATAAGACTGTAAAGGGTCTATAGAAGTATAAAATAAAACAAGAGGGCCAAGGGCCTTGACAGTCACCTGGGTATAACAATGTAATGGGTCTATAGAAGTATAAAATTAAAAAAAAAAACCTGATACATCAAGATATGTTGCCCAAAAAGCAAGAGAAATAGAATGAGCAGCGATCAACAAAATAGTTAGTCTAGTACTCTTAAGCAAATCATAATACTAGTCAGAGCTAATACACTCCCATTTATCACTATCACCATGAAAACTAAACAAAAGACTAAGCAAAACAATAATGCTTGAGCTTATATACACAAAATAAACCCATCACATCATCTGGGTAAAAATACTAATCTTATCCTTTATCTAACAAATGAAAAACACAGAAAAAAAGGTTAAACACACCTTCTTGCAGAAATTTTAGATCAATTTCTGTTTTAACAATTTCTTTGGGTGGAAAAAACCAAGTATCATCAGGAACAACCTCTGTAGAACCTCTTGGCAAATCAGCATCCACTTTAAATTCCTTTTTAGTCTCTGAAAATATTAATATGAAACTATTAAGTTATTGCCTTAACCTTTTTGTGACATTGTGATTATCTGTTATACAAATTTTGAACTGGTTTCTAACTGAATGACATAAAAAAAATATCAGCCTCAGCATACATATACATATATTACTAGTGGCTCATATTCTTAGTCTATACTTACCAATAATAATTGAATCAATTTTTTGAGCTTTAATATCTGTAAATTGGGAGTGAGATATCCTTTTTGGAATAGAGTTTAGACACAGATTTAATCAAAGAATTCAATTTTGGTACTTTTAGTGTGATAAACTTAACATGGCTAACAGTTCATTCCACATTGGAGTTACGAATTTTCTTTTATGCATATTAAATATCTAAAAATCCTTCTTGTTAAAATTATCTTTTGATTTTAAAAAGAGGAATCACTTCATTTGCATCTCACTAAACAATTCACTTATACATTTTACTGAACTAAAATATTTTTAATGGGGTACCTTTTTATTTCTCTAAAAAGTAAAATAAATAATAAACAAGAGGCCCAAGCACCTTGAATCACTCTTCTGATAAATTGTACAACCTATCTCTTCTATTTGAAGCCTCTAAATATCCTGTATATTTAGATAAAGCCTTGAAATTCCAAAAGGAGGTCATCATGACCTACATTTTGGTTAAAACTCTCTGAGAACCCAGGATGAATCAACTGACAAAGTGTGTTGTTCTGAATCCCCTCATTATCTTAATTATTCAGATATGGCCATGAGATTATGAGATTCCAAAAGTAGGTCACATTGACCTTCTTTTTGATAAACATACTCTGAGACCCCAAAATGCATCAACTGACAAAGTTTGATGACTTTAAGATTCTAATTATTTGAAATATTTAGATATTGCCTTGAAATTCCAAAAGTAGGCCACCGTGACCTACTTTTTAGTTGAAACATTCTGAGGACCCAAGATGCATCAACTGACAAAGTTTGATGATTCTTAGCCAATTAGTATCTGAAATATTTTAGTATCTGAAATATTTAAATATTGCCATAGAATGTCAAAAGTAGGTCATGGTGACCTACATTTTAGTTGACGTTCTCAGAGGACCTAAGATGTATAAACTGACAAAGTTTGATGATTCTTAGTCAATTAGTACCTGAAATATTTTAATATTGCCATATATTTCAAAAGTAGGTCATGGTGACATACTTTTTAGTTGATGTTCTCAAAGGACCCAAAATGCATCAATCGACAAAGTTTGATCATTCTAATCCAATAAGTATCTGTGATATTTAAATATAGACTTAAAATAACAAAAGTAGGTCATGATGACTTCTTTTTGGTTGAGGTTTTCCAAAGACCTAAGATGCATCAATTGACAAATTTTCATTATTCTAAGCCAAATGTAGCCATAAAATTTCTAAAGAAGGTCACTATGACCTACTTTTTGGTTAACATTCTCTGAACACCAAAGATGCATCAATCGACAAAGTTTGATGATTCTTTTCAAATTCATACCTGAGATATTTAAATAAAGCCATAAAAATTCAAAATTAGGTCACGGTGACCTGCTTTTTTGGTTTACGTTCTCTGCAGCCCCAAGATGCATCAAATGACAAAGTTGATGATTCTAAGCAAATAAATACCTGAGATATTTAAATAAAGCCATAAAAATTCAAAATTAGGTCACGGTGACCTGCTTTTTTGGTTTACGTTCTCTGCAGCCCCAAGATGCATCAAATGACAAAGTTGATGATTCTAAGCAAATAAATACCTGAGATATTTAAATAAAGCCATAAAAATTCAAAATTAGGTCACGGTGACCTGCTTTTTTAGTAACCATGGCAACACCGTCCATCGAAATCAAAAACCGATGCACTAAATTATATTTGTATGATTTGAACAAACATGGCTAATAATATCTTTGCTGTTCTTAAGAAGAAATTTTTATTGATTTATCCTTTATATTGTTTGTATAACTATGGTCCCCTGTTATGGCCCCTCTATACTCCTGGGGGGGGGGGGTTCATGATTTGATCAAATTTGAGTCTACATTACCTGCAGAGGATGCTTTTATTTTATTATGATCATTCACAGTTTTGCTGTTCTTGAGAATAAGATTTTTAAAGATTTTTTCTATGTATCCTATGCAAAAGTTTGATTATCCACTATTGCCCCAGCCTACCCCCGGGGGTCATGATTTGAACAAACTTAAATCTACACTACCTGAGGATGCTTCTATATAAATATGACCAATCAAGGCTTTGTTGTTTTGAGAAAATTTTTTTTAAAGATTTCCCCTATGTTTTCCTATGTAACAATGATTTGAACAAACATGGCTAATAATATCTTTGCTGTTCTTAAGAAGAAATTTTTATTGATTTATCCTTGTATGATTTGAACAAACATGGCTAATAATATCTTTGCTGTTCTTAAGAAGAAATTTTTATTGATTTATCCTTTATATTGTTTGTATAACTATGGTCCCCTGTTATGGCCCCTCTATACTCCTGGGGGGGGGGGGGGGGGGGGGGGGTTCATGATTTGATCAAATTTGAGTCTACATTACCTGCAGAGGATGCTTTTATTTTATTATGATCATTCACAGTTTTGCTGTTCTTGAGAATAAGATTTTTAAAGATTTTTTCTATGTATCCTATGCAAAAGTTTGATTATCCACTATTGCCCCAGCCTACCCCCGGGGGTCATGATTTGAACAAACTTAAATCTACACTACCTGAGGATGCTTCTATATAAATATGACCAATCAAGGCTTTGTTGTTTTGAGAAAATTTTTTTTAAAGATTTCCCCTATGTTTTCCTATGTAACAATTTGATCGCCCACTGTGGCCCCACCCTACCCCCGGGGGTCAAGATTTGAATAAACTTGAATCTACACAACCTGAGGATGCTTCCATATAAATATGACCAATCAAGGCTTTGCTGTTCTTGAGAAGAAGATTTTTAAAGATTTTCCCTATGTATTCCTATGTAAAACTTTGATCGCCCACTGTGGCCCCATCCTACCCCCGGGGGTCATGATTTGAATAAACTTGAATCTACACTACCTGAGGATGCTTCCATATAAATATGACCAATCAAGGCTTTGCTGTTTTGAGATAAAGATTTTTTAAGATTTTCCCTATGTATTCCTTTATAAAACTTTATCACCCAGTGTGGCCCCACCCTACCCCCAGGGGTCATGATTGGAAAAAAACTTGAATCTACACTACCTGATGATGCTTCCACTAAGTTTCATATTTTCTAGCACAGTGGTTCTTGAGAGGAAGATTTTTAAAAGATGCCATAAATTTTTCACAAATTCACAAATATCTCCCCTTGGAAGAGGGCGTGGCCCTTCATTTGAACAAACTTGAATCCCCTTATCCCAAGGATACTTTGTGGCAAGTTTGGTTGAAATTGACCCAGTAGTTCTAGAGAAGAAGATGAAAATGTGAAAAGTTTACAACGACGACAGACAACGGACAAATTTCGATCAGATAAGCTCACTTGAGCCTTCGGCTCAGGTGAGCTAAAAAGTTTATGCACACAGCAAACCGCACAAATGGCCGTAGCATTAGCTCTTTGAGCCTTTGGCTACAAAAAATACCGTTTATAATTCGAAAACGACTGTTTAAGTGGAATAATAGGAATCAGAAGTATCTTAGTAACTGTTTTATAGCATCCAAGCACTTGCGCATTTCTTTGTTGTCAGCAAAGCCTACATACTCTCCATCGATCATGACATAACCCAAATTAAATCCACAATATACGGGGATTCAAAATTTCAATGGGACTGACATAATATCGTAGTTCTGGAGATTTGTCAAAATTTGATTCCCAACTTAAATAGTACACCAACTATTATAAAGAGTCCATAATTTGAACAAATTTAAATCAACATGTCAGATAAAGGAATCATTCTGATTTAGTGTCATCCTGCTACTCTCCAATCAAAGATTCTTATGCATTCCCATTAATAATTCCAGTCCCTTTCTAGCTCAATCACACTTGAAATATATAAATTTTATATGAATCTACAATTGATTTCCCCAATATATTTTCAGTGAATGATTAATTGATCAAAAGTAGTTTTAAATCCAGATTTTTTTCACTTATATGAAAAACTTTAAAGTCGTCCTCTAGCCATGTCCTTGCACTTGTAGAATGATCTAATTAGAATCCTGTTTGCTGTACTAAGGGAAGCTTTTACAACACAGTTCTATGTAGCCAACTGGTTTAAAGGTAGTCTTTAAAACCAAGTCTCTTTTTAGTGTTTCTCTATCGGGTTGAGTCCACTAGATTTTCTGACATCAGCATAAATTTGCATGTTAAATTAGCTATCTGTTTACTTTTCCGATAATCATTGTTGAATGAGTCGCAATGCATTATGGGCTACTACAAGTATCAATACGAACTCAGTTGTGTTGAAAATAAGAGCAACTTTAATAGTGCCTTGGAAACTCATTTTCATTTCTTTTTTGATATTTATGAAATAAATATTGAAAATGATGTATAATCTTTCATTTCTATGCTCACATTTACAAAATTTGCTTTATGAAGCCTTATATCAACTTGTAATACAACGGCATTAACTACTGTTCGAAGAAACGTAGGTGCTAATGTGTTGATAAACAGTTGAGTGTGTTTTTTTTCCATGTAATATACATGTACATAGTTTTAGACAGCAGGTGCACAATTATTTAACTCCTCAATATCATCAAAATGGGTGAATTAAAAAAAAATGACCACCAAACTGAATTTTTTTGGCAAAATTCAACTATTTATAACATATTTTTCACTTATATCATCATATTGCAAATGCATTCTAGTTTAAAATCCTGAAGTGGCAATAGAATAGACAATTGGATTAAAAAGTTTCAGAATTTTTATTGGTAAAATTTCTTTTGAAAAAAGAAAATATCATTACACCTTAAAAGACTTTCTAAAATACATAATCACAAGAAATTTTATTTTTTTATGCTTCAAAATGGTAAAAGGGGTATAAATGATTAAATCTAGACCTTGAATGAGTATCTTCTCTTGTACATGTGACAAACCAGAAGTCTCTGATGAGACTGTAGCTCTACTGGTCTGTTTGTATAACAAAAGAAAAGTAGCACTTGGATTTGAAACATTGCAACATGCAACAATAAATAGAATTATGTATCTTAATGTAGTCTACTTTTGTGACAAGTTATATTGAAATCAAATGAAAACTAGGAGGAGTAGCGTTTTGAAAGTATTTCACGGAAATTTCTATTTTTAGTACCGGTAACCATGACAACACCATTCACCCAAATAAAAAAAACAGAAATACATATTATGTATCGTAGTGTATTCTAACTGTGTGCCAAATTAGATTGAAATCAGACCAAAATTGTAGGAGGAGTAACGTTTTAAAGGAATTTCACAGAAATTTCTATTTTAAGTAACCATGGCAACACTGTTCATCGAATTCAAAAACCAATGCAATAAATTATGTATCTTAGTATAGTCTTCTTGTATGCCTAATTATATTAGAAGCAGACTAAAACTGTAGCAGGAGTAGTGTTTTAAAGGAATTTCACAGAAATTACTATTTTTAGTAACCATGGCAACACCGTCCATTGAATTCAAAAACCGATGCAATAAATTATGCATCTTAGTGTAGTGTACTTGTGTGCCAAGTTATATTGAAATCGGACCAAAACTGTAGGAGGAGTAGCTTTTTAAAGGAATTTCACAGAAATTTCTATTTTTAGTAACCATGGCAACACCTTCCATCGAAATCAAAAACCGATGCACTTAATTATGTATCTTAGTGTAGTCTATTTGTGTGCCAAGTTATATTGAAATCGGACCAAAACTGTAGGAGGAGTAGCGTTTTAAAGGAATTTCACAGAAATTTCTATTTTTAGTAACCATGGCAACACCGTCCATCGAAATCAAAAACCGATGCACTAAATTATGTATCTTAGTGTAGTCTACTTGTGTGCCAAGTTATATTGAAATCGGACCAAAACTGTAGGAGGAGTAGCGTTTTAAAGGAATTTCACAGAAATTTCTATTTTTAGTAACCATGGCAACACCGTCCATCGAAATCAAAAACCGATGCACTAAATTATGTATCTTAGTGTAGTCTACTTGTGTGCCAAGTTATATTGAAATCGGACCAAAACTGTAGGAGGAGTAGCGTTTTAAAGGAATTTCACAGAAATTTCTATTTTTAGTAACCATGGCAACACCGTCCATCGAAATCAAAAACCGATGCACTAAATTATGTATCTTAGTGTAGTCTACTTGTGTGCCAAGTTATATTGAAATCAGACCAAAACTGTAGGAGGAGTAGCGTTTTAAAGGAATTTCACAGAAATTTCTATTTTTAGTAACCATGGCAACACCGTCCATCGAAATCAAAAACCGATGCACTAAATTATGTATCTTAGTGTAGTCTACTTGTGTGCCAAGTTATATTGAAATCGGACCAAAACTGTAGGAGGAGTAGCGTTTTAAAGGAATTTCACAGAAATTTCTATTTTTAGTAACCATGGCAACACCGTCCATCGAAATCAAAAACCGATGCACTAAATTATGTATCTTAGTGTAGTCTACTTGTGTGCCAAGTTATATTGAAATCGGACCAAAACTGTAGGAGGAGTAGCGTTTTAAAGGAATTTCACAGAAATTTCTATTTTTAGTAACCATGGCAACACCGTCCATCGAAATCAAAAACCGATGCACTAAATTATGTATCTTAGTGTAGTCTACTTGTGTGCCAAGTTATATTGAAATCGGACCAAAACTGTAGGAGGAGTAGCGTTTTGAAAAATTGTTTACAGACAGACGGACAGACAGACAGACAGACAGACAGACAGACGGACGGACGACGGACACCTTACTATCGCATAAGCTCTTCTGGTCTCTGACCAGTAGAGCTAAAAATTGGCTTTTTGATTGTTATTTTACATTATTTTTTCAATTCTGGTTTGAAAAGTTTTAATATGAAAAAAATATGAAGCAATTAAATTCCCCAAAATTCACTTTTTTGTCCGTTCAAGTCAACTCTTTAAATCTAAGCCAAAAAAGAATTGTTATATACGAGTTCTCTTACGAAGAATACTAGATTTTGAAGTGAGCCTATGTTACATTATTGTGTTGCACTCCTGACATCTGATATGTATTTTATTTAACGTTGTTTTAAAAATTATAACACACAATAACCCATTCTTAATTTGTAAATCAATTTGTCGTGTTGATATTTTTCATCGTTTACAGCAGTTTTTTCCTATTTTGAAGACCTTAAGACATGATTATTTGCAAAGTGTAATATATATAAATTGTATTTAAAATATATGTGAAATGATGAAAACTATTCCCTGAATGGACTGTAAAATTTCTGTAATTTGTTGATAGACATAGTGTTTTGAACATCAAATAGTACCAAGCATTTTTTTTTTCAACTTAATTTTTAGTCAAGATAGTTAAAAAGCATCGGTAATTATGAAGCAGTTTTGTTGCACTCCTGACTGCAGTAAAGTTTAAAATTAAAACCATAGAACACAGAAATTCATAAAGTGTTGGCAACATCAAGTGGTAATGAAATTGTGCAATACTTATAGTCCAATACTTCATAATTAAAACAGATGAAAGTATTTAAAATTCGCATTTTATCTGGAATTATACCCTATTTTATGCCAAAAAACTAGCTTAAATGTATATTTAGAAGATAAAATATATTTTAAAGCATATTTTCCTTTAGAAGACAAACACAGTAACTCACCAGAAAAATTCTACTCATCATTTTTTCTTTATTTTTATTTTTATTGGATGATTTATAATTCTAACATATTTGTTGCACTCCTGACCAAAAGCATTGGGGCCTTTAAAGTAGAATTGTGAAGTGAAAATTACATAAGAACTTGTTCTGTTGTTTCAGTGAAGTTGAGGAGGAATTACTCGAATTTTATGACAATGTTTTAGTGTGTTTATTTTTAACGTTCATTAAAAAATCACAAAAAAGATAAAAACACATCTGAATTGATAAAATTGAAAAAGGAAGGATTTTAATAATAAAACTGTCAATAACTTAGCATTAAATTATACAAAAAGATCATTATTAATTAATGAATACTTCTAAGCATGAATAGAAGTCTTTTCGTCACACAACTTGAATCTTTAAAAAATGTGTTGCACTCCTGACCATAGAAATATGGATCTGAAGCAAAGACAGATCCTGTAATTGATAAATCTATTTGGTAAAAATGTTCTTTGTGTCTTTCTTTTCCAAAATAAAAATCAGAAAATCATATAATGATAATAGTTTTTTCATGCTTGGGAGCAAAACATCAAATGTTGCACTCCTGACATTTTTGGGTATGCACATATACTTGACTCTCATTAACGCTGCTTGTGATTTATATAACATTTTTAAGTTCTAAAATGTATATCAGTTATTATTTTACACTTCCAAAATTCTTTTTTGTCTTAATTTTCTATCAGAATTTTACAATTGATGTTTTTTTGGCAACACTACATTTTTTCTGTTGCACTCCTGACATGGTATAACATTTTTTTAAACATCAGCCATGACCACAACCTGATTAAACAAAAGTTATGACAGTCCACATTTGAAGCTCAATACTTTGAATATTGTCAAGAAAGTCTTTATTTTCAACATGAAGCATTATTTTTTATTTCACAGATCTCCAAAAAATATTGAAATTTCAAAATGTCACAAAAAGGTGTTGCACTCCTGACAATTTTAGCATCATTTTTGGGCATAACTTTTTTGTTAATTGAGATATCAACGAGATATTTGGCAGGTATTTAGACACTATCTAAAGACATATGCTGAGACATAAAAATCTATTTTCATTGCCTGTGTTTTTAGTGTGGGTTGATAAATATGCGTTTGGTCATTTTTTTTGAATTCACCCAAATGTTTTTATGTACATGAAAACATCAAAGCATTTGTACGGTATTTGAAGCTATTATTTATCACCTAAAAAAACTCCAATATTAAATGTGAGCATGGAACAGTGTATTTGGAATATAATTTTTCAATTTCTGCCTTATAAAGTAACAAGAGGCCCATGGGCCACATTGCTCACCTAAGCACATTGGCTAGGAAAAAAGCAAAAATCAGTTCAGTAGGTTGGTTGAAATTAGCCCAGTGGTTCTTGTGAAGAAGTCGAAAATGTGAAAAGTTTACAGACAGACAGACGGACAATGGACAAAATGTGATCAGAAAAGTTCACTTGAGCCTTTGGCTCAGGTGAGCTAAAAAAAAGAAGCTGTATGGTTTTTCCGGTGACCAAGTAAATATTATGCAGTAAACTGACGAAAACCACATCGCTGTTGAATCGTAAACATGTAGTAGACCGTCATGCTTTGCGATTCATTCAATCAATTGGAGAATGGGTTTGACGAAAACATCGTCTCATGTTGAAAAGTGCCTTCCATAAAAGGTAGTGTACCCGACCTGATAATATTATTCATACCTTTTATTTGTACCTTTTGGTCACTTTCTGTTCTACGTATCTTTTTGGGTTGAGGATATCCAGACACCGAGACAGTCCGTGACGAACAACTTGGCAATTCATCAAATTCTCTTTCAAATTTAATAGGATGCTCTGAAACATAATGCATAAAACATATACAATATATTTATATATTATATATATTTAAGCTGCAAAAATTATCTATTTAATTAATATTACCTATTCCTACATTGTTTTCTTCAAAGTTATTGGCATTGGATCAAATCTGTGATGTATTACATCAGAAGAATTTTAGGATATTTTTTCCTACTCAAACAAAACCCCATCCCACCTCCCGTTTGTAGCCCAATGTTAGCCAATGATTAATCTTAAACTTTCATCTACAAAACGGGATGCTGAATTTCAGTAAAACTAATTTTGCCACTTCTGTTCTGGAGAATTCAGAATTCAATGATAATCATATCATTTCCAATATGTATATCAAAATCCATCAAAAATCTGTTCATTCATAAACAAATATTTGCTAAAAATTCTAGATGTTTCCAAAAAAATCTAATTTATTGTCAAAATATATAACAGACATCGCAAAATTTGAATAAAATGGCCTTTTTACTTGAGAATTTGATAAAGGAATAATAGTTATTTTAAACCATAAGAGTTAACTCACATCTCAGAGGGTTAGTGAACCTTGAAGAAAACTTTGAATTCATGTTATGGCCCTAGTTTATGGACCTTTGTCTGAACAAAATTGAATTAACATGCTTATCAATATGACCCTGAACTTGTAACTTGAGAAAATAATTTATTTTCACAACAGTAAAATTGCAGGATATGGTTTGTTCAAATAATGACCATTTACATACAAATTAAGTGGGAGTCACAATGAGTTACCATATAAGTGGAACTTTTAGCGAGACTCGAATTTAGTGATTTTTCCTAAAAAATTGATATTTTATTTTTGTGATATGTAATTTTAGCGATTTTGTGATATATATAGAAAGATGATAACCTCCGATGTGGAATGAATTATAAGCGATATCAAATTTTAGCAGTCTCAACAACCTCACTAATAATGCCAAAATTAAATCCTCGCTAAAATTTCTGCTTATACGGTATTCTGATATAAATCGTTTTCTAATACAATGTTTTGCGTCATTTTATTTCACTGGTTCAAAGTAATCAAATAAATACACCATTTATAATCATACATCATGTAACTAAAGGCTGATTTGAGAAAGTGAAATGTTCAATTGGTAAAATAAAACCATTGTTATATTCACTGAGGTTACAACAGTTAAAGGTCTTTTCATGTGATAATGTATTAAGCACTTAATCTCAAATAAAATTTTTAACTTTACAATATGATAAAGGCCTAATAGTTATTTTAAACCATGCGAGTTATCTCTCTTATCATAGGATTGCTAAACCTTGAGTAAAACTTTTAATCCATATTATAGACCTTGTTCATAGGCATTATTTCAACAAAATTGCCTATTTTCAATTTTTGCCATCTGATATCGTTCACCAATTGTAAATACTTGGATTCCATTCAGGATACATTTAAATTACTCAAGTTTATTTTGCATAAAACTGAATGCTGACTGTTGTTAGGGAGATTTTTTTCACTGGAATAACCCTAGTGCATATATCAATTTCAAATTAACATGTTTCCAAATCTTTATAAAATAACTATGAATAATGCAGATTTATTTCAAATTTAAAAAATCCAAATCTTTATATTAAATCAAATTCAAGCCATTGAAGAGTACTTGTAGATGTGACATGGGCTGGTGTTGCAGTCCATGGATAGGTGGACTCCAGTTGATGTCTTTCTTGTGTACGTGGAGGTCCAAGTTGTTCCAGGGTACTTCTTGTAGATGAGAAAAAGGCTGGTGGTATCCATGGGTAGGTGGACTCCAGTTGATGTCTTCCTTGTGTATGTGGAAGTCGAAGCCGTTCCAGGATACTTGTAGATGTAAAGTGGGCTGGTGGTGCTGTCCATGGGTAGGTGGACTTCCGTTGATGTCTTTCTTGTGTACGTGCAGTTCTAGGCCATCCCAGGGTACCTGGAGAGAGAAGACGGTTGGAGCTTCCCATTGGAGGGACTGGAGGCAATGGAGGCAGTCTCACTGTGGGAACCACTGTGAAAAATAGATATTTTAACATATATTGGTACCTTGAATCAGTTGCATGGTATGGAATTTGTGAGATTAATTCAGTCTTCAAAAAAGATAACACTTTTACAATAACCATTCATTAACAAGAAGTCTGTGAGCCAATGCTCACTAGTAATACCCCTGCTCTGATGTGAATATACACTCTCATGTGAATATATTGGTACGGACAGACACATGGATAAACAGGAAGTTGACATTGCATTTGTACAAAAAGATGAATCACACCATATGACATGCCAAACCAAAGAGTGTGCTAAAATTTCCAGCATCTACAATGAGTAGTTTCTGAGAAAATTGTGAAGGAAATTTGGTATGGACAGAGGAAGTTTTGTATAAATTTTGTACAGATTGGTACAAAAATGAATCCAAACATATGATATGCCTAAATAAAGAGTGTGCTAAAATTTCAAGTATCTGTGATGAGTAGTTGCTGAGAAAACTGTGACAGAAATTTGTTACGGACAGACAGACACACACACACATCTAGACTGACGGGCAGACAGACAGACAGACACACAAGGGTAAAACAGTATAACCTCTCTCCTTTGGAGTGGGGGTATTTTTATGAAAGTTAAAATTATGTTTGAAAATAGTAATTTTTTTTCTCTATAGATATCCAATACAAATATCTTTATCCCTTTAAATAGCACTAAACCACAGGCACTTGACGTTACATATTTTTTCTTATTAAAAAATACAACAAGGGCAAAGACGATGTAGGAGTATATGTGCAATGAAAGTCAGTTAAGCATGTAGATTTCTAGATTTCCCCACACCTGCTACTGAAATATACAACATTCCTTAGACAAGAATCATGTTGTTTGTATCAACATATTATTTTCCTTCAGAATTATACAGTCAATCTGATTGGTTGAGACCACGTCACGTGTGGGGAGACAATTCGTGATGTCTCTCCCTCACACACAGGGTGACAACTGTGTTGTCTCCCTTCAGATGACAAAGAAAAAGTGCGAGCGAGCGTGCTGGGTGACAAAACTGCATAGGTTGTCTCCCTTTAGATGAAAATAAGTATCGTAGGCAAGATAACTCGTTTTTATAATTTTATATAATTGATATATATATATGCGGGATCGGTAAACAATAAATTCTAAGGTGACGTCAAAGTTGCCTGTTGACATATTTTGAAAGTATGGAATCGGAGCAGTAGGTAGGAGAACAAAGAGGTTTGACTGATCTTTTTTACTCTGTCTCATTAATAATTTAGATTCTTCAGGATAATAAAGCTATTATGGACTGTTTAGAAGGGAGACATCAAGAAATATCAGGTCTGAGTAAGGTTGTCACCCTCGGCGCAAGCGCCCTCGGGTGACAACCCTACTCAGACCTGGTAATTCATGATGTCTCCCTTCTAAACAGTCCATAATTGTATATTGTCAGCAAGTACAAAATATGTTCTGTACAGTAGAATGTTGTATTCACTGAATATATCATAGAAATGCACAAGATTATTACTACAGACAGAGCTTTGATAACATCACTCCATTCTAACATAGGGACTACTGAACATGCTAAACATTAACATTATCCCTAAAATCTTAGCAAACTAAAGACCCCATAATCAAATGTATTCACTACTTTTAAGAAGGTATATATGTAAATGTACAGTGACATCAGTTATCAGACATGTACAAACTTGTGCTAGAACATGTAGAACAAACATATATTTTCCTGGCTACACAAACTTAACTTAAAATTAAAGGCCAGTGTGGTTAAAAACAAACAAATAATTCATAAAGGACTTGTAATTACACTTAATACAAGGACTATATATACTGTAATTCTCTATTAATGACTTAAAATTATACCCTGAATATAATTGATACAATAATCATGATAATTCATAAACTACTTGTAATTACACACACTCCAGTCAAAGTTATTTGTTAATGATGTTCCCAACAATCACATCAATAATTGTAGTGTCTACATATTTGTAGATTCATGATACATTTTAATACAAAACACTTAAACATACCACAGTGTAATACTATTACTTACATGCATCTGTCAGAGAGTCTCTATCTACCACTCTGTATATGTTGACTGTGTTGTCCCAGTATGACCCTACCCACAGTAGTTGTGTGGTATCATCATAACTCAGGCCCAGTGGTTTGTCTATCCCGTGTAGTGATGTCAGTATCTGTGACAGGAAGTGACCGTCACTGTCTAACATCTGTACTGACTTGGTGTATAGATCACACACCAGGATGTGTGACAGCGCGTCAGTACAGATTCCACGTGGATATAGTCGTGATCCTGATGGAGGTCCTGTGTAGGAGAAGCGAAGACTTCCACCACCATCTGTCACCACTACACGGTGCAAGTCAGACACAATAACATCTCCATTGTGGTTCTCTGTGATGTAGATAGGATCTCTATACAGTCTCTGACCTGTGTTGTTGTTGTACTGTTTGGTCTGGATGTGTTCTCCTGTGGAGTTATACCGCACTACCTTGCCTATCCATGTATCAGTATTATACATCCCGACCAGCAGGTCTCCAGTGGAGGGGGAGCTGTAGACACACCGTGGTCTCCATGGTGCTGTGTTGTACTTTATTAATGTAGTCTTTACTGTGTTATCTGTAGACAGTTTGTTGATGTTACCTTGTCTGTCTATATAAATTAAATCACCGTCATTGTTCACTGTGTGTCCTCCAGTATAACTACCTATATCTGTCAGATGATGTAGTTTATCACCTGCTGTGTTTGTCAAGATGAGATCTTTATAATCACTGATCCAGACCCGGTCTGAGGATACACGGGTAATGTGATTACAAACACTAACACCTGGCACTGTGACAGATTTCTGTAACACTGATCTATACATCATTTACAGCAGACATTTATTTCTTCTTGTTGTTTTCTTGTGGTTTATCTTCATAACAGAGTCGTGTTGATTTCCTTTTCTGAAAATCACAACATTGTACTAGAATCATCTATATCAGTAACAGGTCTCTTTTTTACAATATACATGTACCTTTACTGTTTTTAAGATGTTAAATAATTGAATGAATAGAGTTTATGGCTAATGCACACCTGGATACCTTTACAATGAGTGCTGAATTCTTTATCTCTGTAAGTCTCTGTAAAAAGCAGGGTCCAAGTCTTCACAATGAAATCTAAAATAAAATATTTATAGATTAAAATATTGTTGAAAACTAAATGCTTTTTTAAAATTCTTATAGGCTGCATGTATAATATGATATCATTTGAAATATTATAAATATATCTAGTAAGTAATTATTTCCAGTGCAATGTACAAACTTTATAATTATAGAGCATACTTAAACATGATACACGTTCAGTCTCATTAATCATGTTAATTATTATGTTAATTATCTTACAAGTAATCAAGACACAACATGTACAGTACATGTTTAAATTTTTTCTGATATGACACATTCTATAGATAGGTATGATGTACAGTTTGTTTTGACACAGACTACAGTAATATAGAGTAATAAAGAATGGATACCACACGGATTTCTTGTATCTGTTAAAAACTGTATGGCTTTCATTCATCTTCTTTCTGAATTCTGGGTAAAGAAAAGAATATTAGTATTTACTATTCTTACAAAACATGTATATTCTTAAGCTTATTTTAATTAATTCATAATCACTCAGGGTAAGGTGGGGCAATTTTAATTCAGAGAAAATTGTGTCTTCATTTTGAAATTATACAGTCATTCAAATCTTCTTTTTTTTGTTTCTTTAAGACATCATTTAAAAATGATATATTAAATAATTCCTGCAAATGCACATCTACAAATGTAGTACTTTGTTTAATTATAGTTTATAGATTTTTGCATGTAAAGGATTATGAAAACCTGTATTGTAAGAGATGATTCTTTTCTTCTTCTTCTAAACAACTACACAGCTCATCCTGAGAAATCTATCAAGATAAATAAGAACATTAATGTTAACCTATATGACCTTGACCTTGTTAAACATTGTATATGTATAATATAAATTAATAATGCAATATTAGGTTATGATTTGATACATATACAAGTACAGGGTACATTAATGCTTACATGTGGCTCATGAAATATGCCCATGTGAATATCAGCAAGGTCATGGTATCATAAACTTCCATAGTTCAGTTCCTACCCCCGGCCAGGGCAATAATTTAACAATCTTGAATCTGCACTTCCTGATGATGCTTAGATTTAAATAATCGTGCATGGGCAGTTCATAAGAAAAAACAATTTAAAAGATTTTTTTCCCATATATTCCTATTAAAACTTTAAAACCTGAGAAAAAGCTTCCTGAGGATGATTGCATAATAATCTGATCATTCAAAGATTTCTTCATACATTCTCTCCTGAAAAATTTTAATCCCATATTGCCCCCCCCCCCCCCCCCCCCGTAACCCATACTGAACACTTTTAAAGTTATCATATAAAATGTATGTATGCAATATCAAAAGCTTGACCTTGATCTTTGACCTTAAAATCAAAAAGAGTTTTTCTTAATTCATATTGACAAAAGGTATAACATTCCATTGCAAAACCTCAAAAAGAATGAGAGTATCATCATGAAACCATTTAATATGCAGGATATAAATGCTGGCCTTGACCTTCGACCTAAAAATCAATAGTGGTCTTTTTTAGGCCATAGAGAGTTGTGATATTAAATTTCACTGAGAAAAGCTCAAAGACAAGAGGCCAATGGGCCACAACGCTCACCTGAGTCACTTTGGCCCTGCTGTTCTTCATCAGATTTATCTATCGTCTATTGTACGTGGCCCCAACCCGCCCCTGGGGTTAAAGATTTCAACAAACTTGAATCTACATCATCTGAGGATGCTCCTACATTTAAACAATAGGCCAATGGGCCACAACACTCATGTGAGTCACTATGGCCTTACTGTTCTGCATCAGATTTTTTCCCCAATATTCACATGAACAATTATTCCTATATTAAATTTTGATCAACTTTTGTGGCCCCACCTTATATAGAAGACCGTGATTTGAACAAAAATCAATCTACACTACCAGAGATGCTTCCACATTAATATGATTAATCATAGCCTTGCTGTTCTTGAGTAGAGGAGTTTTAAAGATTTTTCCTGTGTAATCCCTGCCGTTGCCCCATTCTATCCCCCCCTCCCCCAAGGACCATGATCTGAACAATAAACAATTACCACTATCTCAGGAAGCTTCCACTTAAGTTTCAGCTTTTCTAGTCCAGCAGTTCTTGAGAAGAAGTTTTTTAAAGATTTTTCCTATATATTTCAATGTATTTAACCTCGATTTCCTATTAGTATTTCATGTATTGCCCCACCCTACCCCCAGAGCCAATATGTAAACAATTTAAAATCTACACTGCCTTAAGAAACTTCCACTCTCGTTTCAGCTTTTCTAGCCAAGTGATTCTTGAGAAGAAAATTTTTAAAGATTTTTTCTATATATTTCAACGTATTTAACTTGATTCCCTATTGTGGTCCCACCCTACCCCATGGGCCATGATTTGAACATATTAAAATCTACACTACCTAAACATAAGTTTCAGCTTTTCTGGCCCCGTTGTTCTTGAGAAGAAGATTTTTAAAGATTTTTCCTATGTATTGAAATGTAAAATTTTGATTCTCTATTGTGGCCCCACTCAACCCCTGGGGGCCATGACTTGAACAATTTAGAATCTAGTTACACTATCTTGGAAAGATTCCACATAAGTTTTACCTTTTCTGGCCCAGTGGCTTTGGAGAAGAATTTTTTAATGACCCCACCCAATTTTGCCTTTTCTAGATTATCTCCCCTTTGAAGGGGGCTTGGCCCTTCATTTCAACAATTCAGAATCCTGATTACCCAGGAGTGCTTTGTACCAAATTAGGTTAAAATTGGCCCAGTGGTTCTTGAGAAGAAGTTGAAAATGTAAAAAGTTTACAGACTGAATAACAGATGGCCAGATATGACAGACAACACGTGATCAAAGCTCACTTGAGCTTTCAGCTCAAATGAGCTAAAACTGATTCATCATGCTTTGCTGTTGTTGAGAAGAGGAGTTTTAAAGACATTTTCCTATAAAATCCTATGCAAAACTTTGATTGCCTACTGTGGCCCCACTCCACCCCCGGGGGTCATAATTTGAACAAACTTGAATCTACATTACCTGAAGCTGCTTCTTTATTAATATGACTAACCATGGCTTTCCTGTGCTTGAGATGATTTTAAAATGTTTCTTCATATATATTCCAATATCAAACTTTGATTCCCCATTGTGGCCCCACCCTACCCCCTGGGGCCATGATTTGAACAATTTAGAATCTACACTACCTCAGGAAGATTCCACATAAGTTTCAGCTTTTCTGGCCCAGTGATTCTTGTGAAGAAGAATTTAAAAGATTTTTCCTAAATATATACCAAGGTAAAAATTAGATTCCCTGTTGTGGCTTTCCCAACCCCCAGGGCCTCCTGAAGATTCTAAATACATGTAAGTTTCACCTTTTCTGGCCCAGTGGTTCTTGAGAAGATTTTGAAAGATTTTTCCTATTTATTTCAATCGGTATACTGAATATATAGACCTCATAGATAGTACTTCATTTTATACCTTTTAATTTATAAAATTTCAAATTCCTGTCACTTGATACTATTGAAGCCACCATACCCCTCAAAATCTGAATTTCATGACAAGATTACATGTATTAGTTATAGGCCTATTCAAATCAGATTTATAAGCATGTGCAAAATCAAACGTTTTAAAAATTTTAGTTTTAAGGAGGAATGCCACACCTGAATTTTATTTAATAGATCTTTAAGACATCCCTTTCAAACTATGGTTTCAGAATGGAAAGATCGATATTAGCTCTTAATTATTTTATACAGTTTTTTTGGCATTTTTCCAGAGAAAATGAAAAAAATATTTTATTCGATTCGCAAATAAGATGCTTTATGGTTTAAAACTTTCTGTTAATAACTGCATAATATGAATCTCTAATAAAATATGTAAAGAAAGGCTGGATATACATTTTAATTTTTCAAATGAAAAATTATTTATGAAAATAAAACACATTATTTGTGATTATTTTTTTAAACCTATGGTTAAAATCTTCATAAAACTAGTCATAACTAGGGAGAACATGTTACTAATAGTCAATCATATTTTAAAAAAAAATTGAAATGAAATTGTGAAATTTTAGGGAAAATAATTATTTTAATATTTGGACCAATCCCGATCAAAATTAAAATGATCCCGAACAAAATTAACACAAAATAAATAAAATAATAATCTATTGCCTTCTTTATGTACTCACCACTAAGAAATCTACATAGGCGGATACAGGATTTGTGATTGGGGGGGGGGGGATAACTTCGTTCAGGCAGGGGGTCTGGGGGTCGCCTTAAGGCCCCCAGTGGGTCCAGGGCAAAGCCCTGGTTGGGGCCCAGGGGGCAAAGCCCCCGGAAGCTCCTGGGTTTTCGTGTATTTTAAGAGTAAAACCAGGTACAAAAATAGTGTTATTGGTTAGTTATGTACCAAAGTATGGCATTATTAATATTAGTCATGTCATACTTTGAAAATTTTAGGGGGGGGTGGGCCCCCACGCCCCCCCCCCCCCTTAAATCCGCCAGTGATCTATTTGATTCAAGTTCAATTATTTTTTAACCACTATAACATCTGAACAAACTAATATTGACTATTCTCCTGAAAATGTTATCTATTTCCAATTATTATAAAATTCTGGTTGGGATCAGTTAAAAACTTTAATTTCGATCGGGATTGGCCAAAATTAAACAAAATAATTTCTCTAAAATTTTGCAATTTCATTTCCTTTTAAAATATGATTGTCTAACATATCCTTTGTAGCTGTGACTTGTTTTTTGAATATATTATCA